AGAACAAGATAGGAAATTGCATAACCACCTTCACATTCAAACCGCTGAACAATCTTTCAAATCAACAGGATGGAGAAAGGAACATGACAAAAATTTTGCCATGTGCAAGTGACTGGAAAACATCTGGGATGGTCTTAGATGGCCAATAATTCTACTTACCCAATGATACTGAACAGAACATAAGTGATCCTGTCAGCTGATTCACCATGAAATAAAATTATGTTTCAATATATGGCTTTTGGCACTAATAATATAAGAGGACAGTGCTTAAACAATGGGGCTGATGAACAGAGACACAAAACTTGATGCAGGCACACAATTGTAAGTAAAAATGTCTACACACATTTTAAATTACCCACGTATTGCTTTATGCTTTCAAATGTATGACACTTTCACTTTTATAATGTCTAGAAAAACTCTTTTCCCTGTTTTAAATATAGAAAAAATTATGACAAGAAAAACATCCAGTTCTTTCCTATATTTATGAATATTTTGTAATGCTGGGATATGATTCAGAAACTACCATCAAAGATTAAGCTCAGAGATTCACTTTATTTTGAATAGTGTTTCCCTAACACAATACGGAGCTTTTGAAATGAATACTGACTAAATCAAATGTGTACCACACATGTATCTGCAGGGCAATTTTTCATATGCAAGCTGTGTACTAGAAGCTAAAACAGCATTTATCATCATCAACATCAGGGCAACGAGTAGCCATCATCCTGATGATGGAGGCAGCAAGGACTTCTAAAACATCGGTAAACTTCCACCATATTACATGGTGCCACAACCCAAAAGACAGCTATCTTCATATTGAATTTTAACCACAGGAGGGAAAGAAGAAATTTCTGTGAGTGTATTTGGTACTTCAGCCACTCGCAATCATCAGTCACATCTTCATCCATCCTCTCTTATTTACTTACCTTACCAATTTAACTCGCGCACTGGTATTTTCTGAATCTGCCCCAGAAGCTACAAATGTGTTGCTCATAAATGAACACTTCATATCATACAATACAGCACAGTAGGTTATATGCATCACTGAACATGAAAAAGAGATGCCTGAAACTCATACTTTGTAATGATTTAAAAATAAATATATTAAATATGGTCACTTCCAGAATTGTTCTAATAAAGTAATTCATAATAAAAATTATAAATACTGTGAAACCACAAAATACTTTGCAGTATAAAATCAAGAAATGTAAGACAGCAGAATAATTACCAAAATATGAAACTGAAAAGTTATGTTTCCCTTCTTATGTAATTATCATGTCTGTATCTTGGCATATTACCTGGAAAATGCTTCTCCCATTGTGTCATCTTACAGGGTTGTTTAAAAACATAGGGTAAGTGGGACTGCTATATGAAGGGCTTTATTCTTACATAAATAAATGTATAATATTTAAGAAGACTTTGACATACATCACTTTTTCACACATGTTTAAGCATCTGTCCCATCATGATATCAAGACATCTATCCCATCATGAAAGAAATTTGTGTCAAATGTCTTTAGCCAGGAAATAACAGCAAGCAGCAAATCACCACTGGTTGTAGCCAGGCACTCCTTCAGGGGTCTGAAGGGATGGAAATCACTTGATGTGAGACTGGGACCATGTGCCAGGTGGTCCAGAACCTCCAAAGTGTGAGATTTAATGGCTAAATATACATTACACTGATTTCTTCCACACCAGGATAGATGTCATGGTGTCACAGTGGGACAAATGCTTAAACTGTGACAAAAGCATTGTGAAAAAGCGATGTTTGTAAGAATAAAGTCCTTTAAATATGAGTTTTTATTTCCTTATTTTTTAACACCCCTGTATTTGATTTCCTTCCTGCATCACTTTTACTCTCACCCCTTCCTCATGCACATGGACATACATGGCACAGTATTCTATATTAAGACAATAAAAATAGAATGGACAGCAGGGACACAAAAAACAACTGAAACGTGTATGACAAACACTGATTTAGTTTGCAATGTAGTGATAACAGTATCCTCTGAACAAAGGAGAATAAAATTTAAAACCAGTACTAAATAAAATAGAATACCAATGAACTTAAATGCTGTTACTATCAGCATTAGGATGGTGATTTTGAGCCTTGTACAGGCTGTAACTTGATTAATCTGAGAATACAAGAAGAAAATCAGCAAAAAAATTGCATTTTGTAAGAACATACCCTTCTCACTGTTCTTCATTCTTCTATTATTTAACTTCAAGTGACCTTAGTTTCTCATGTAAGCAATGTCACAACAAAAACAAAATTAAGTCAGCCACATGGTAAATAGTAATGTTTTGTATCCCTGTATCAGAACATTATACAATTTTCTCCTACTACAGGTAACACTTCATGCCAGATAGATGACCTAGATTACTGACATGATTGTTATTGTTATGATGGGTTAAGACTGTGTTTCATTATTACCAGACATGATATTTAAAAGAGGAGAGATTTCAATTATAGTCTAGAAAGTATGTAACAAATTAATTATCCAAACTGAAAAGATACGAACATCACACATGCATGCATACAATTCAGTATATTTTAGTCTTACAATCCTCAAAAGTTAAGTCCACAAAGTATATCATAGTATCACAGAGTTCTTTCAATTTTTCATAAAAGGAAACATCACTGTTGGGATAATAACTGATTCGCAAAGAGCAAGCATTAATTTTGACTTCAGTACTTACATAATAAAATGCTACAGGTTCCTTTGTGGGCTCCGTTTCAGTTGTCATTCCTGTTTTCTTGGTCAGTTCTTTGCCCCTGACCTTTTGAATGGGTTTTGTAACACCTTTCTTTGTTTTTGCTAACAGTGAGCTGGAGCCAGTTGTTGGCACAGCTGAGCCAACCCCAGGTGTAGGAGGTGGAAAAGATATAGTGGGTGAGGCAACTAGTTCTGAAACATTTTCTTGTTTTGGTTGTGTTGTCTTACTTGCTGGTTTCTGTTTGGGAGGACGAGTAATTAGAGCAGAAATCCGAGCCAACTCTGGAGATGGTTCTCTTTTCACCATTTCTGAAGCAGGACATTTATTTCCTTCATCTTGATTCTTCACTACTGGTTTGATGACACTGCAAGGTCAATATTATACTTTAAGAAATTGGTGAGTGAGAGAAAAAACACACACCACCTATAAGTGCACAAAAAGCAAACAAAAGAAAGGAAAACATGCATTTATAAACAATTTAGGCCACCAATACAATTACAGGGATGTTAAAAGATGACACAACCTATTTTGCAAATCCTTTTTTTTACATATAAAAATATGTGCCTTAATTTATTATTTTACTGAATACAGAAAAGGAACCTGATTAGCTGAATTTTGCACTACCTTGTATGTATGAAACATCTCATATACTCACATCTTCCGTGGCTGTGCATCAGGAGTAGGAGGGCGTGGGGACGCCGGAGCTAAACGGAATGTTATTTTAGGTACACCCGATTCACCTTTTTCCTCATGCTGTCCAAACAAATCATCATGTACCTGCTTTAGTGCAACATAAGAGCCCACTAAACACTAAATTATTTTAACTCCACTCAATCTCAACACACACTTGCATTTAATACTACACCATTACACAAGTAACATAAACATGAAATCAGGTACTCCATTATCCAATGTGCGGAGTACCTGTTCAGCTGTCTGAAAATTAAACAAACAGTAGTAATCATCAACCAACTCAAGATTTTCTGACATATTTTCTAATTTTGATATTATGAAACCTATATATTAAATTTTACGATACTGGCTTTAACCTTTATTGACTGTGTGTTGCAGCTTTCATGCAGTCCAACTAACCAGTCACTGCACTGGCATACTTCTAAACAGTTAACCCCAGAGAATAAGTTCAGCCAGGAGGCATGTAGCATGCGGGTTTAAATCCCCTAACAGGCTTATAATTTATTTATAGTTTATTTAATGTTGCTTTCAGTATCTACACTGTACAGCATCAGATGAGAGGATGACAATGAGTAATGAATTGGAAAGGATATGGAAGGAAGTGGCCATGGCCTAATTTCAAGTACTATACCAGCTCCACCCTATATGATAAAAGTTGTAAATAATATATACTTTATAGTGTATGAAATACGGAAACATATGAAGGTACTGTTCATTAATCATTCTACATACCTTATTTGATGCTGAAGTTGCAAACCCCCCTGCTGCTGCTACCACAGCAGCAACTTCTTTCTCCTTTTTTTTATCTTTTTTCTCCTTCTTGTCTTTTAATTTGTCTTTATGTTTCTCTTTATTCTCAACTTTCACTTTCTTTCTTTCACCTTTTTCTTTTCCTTTAACCTTTTCTTTCTTATCCTTTTTCTTCTTTGTTTTATCCTTTTCCTTCTTTTTATGTTCTTTTAATTTCTAGAAGGTTAATAAAAACATAACAGTTAATATTCTTTCTTAAGATATATTAATTTTTATAACAGAAAATACAACCATATTTCTAGAACTACAGGTACAGTATATGGTCTCAGAATTCACTGCAACACCGATCAGACCTAAACAGCAAACTTTACATCTCTGGTTTCAAATCTAAATAGTGCAAAGAAGTGCACAAGAAATCAGTACAGCTTTCATTCTGAAGAAAACTTACATTAGCAAGACCTAACAGTTATCACCACAAACAGTAATCATGTAGGAAATTAAATAGAACTACCCAGTGCAGGGAATTATTGCATTACCCAATTCCCTACAAGTATAATGAACTTTGAAGATGTCCGTCTTCTGGGGCCCTGATGACGGAGGCAGTATGACCTCTGAAACGTTGGTTAACATCGACCAGACTACACAGCGCAATAACCCAGAAGACGGACATCTTCATACTCACTGCTGTGAGAACCTCAAGTCTTACATAATGAACTTTCATAATATACTTTATTATAGGCATGTAAGTAAAATATTGTGTCATCTCATCCAAAATGTTAAACTTAATGAAATATATACACATAAAGCAAGTCAAACTCAACAGCACAGAATAAAAACAATGTGTCAACAGTCCTGGAATGGTGAAGGGCCCGCAAAATAATGAACGTAAAACAACAAATATATGCACAGAACATGTGTTTGTAATTCTACATCACCTTCTTTATCATATACAAGAAACTAAATTTGTTTCACTGATGGAAACAACACCATCATTCAATGAATGCAACCTGACCACCTTCTGTAAGACAGATAATACCATATCTAAAATTGTAAATTACCTTCAGCAGCTACACACTTCTGTCAGTGTCCATACAGTCATTCAAAACACTTAATATATTTAGGTGAAGATGTTTTTAGAATACTTCGAGGAAATAGATTTGGATATCACTTTTAGAGGCAGTGAATGATAGCAAGTTATCAGGGAATAAACATGAGTCAATCACAGAAAAATAAATCATCAATGGGGCAGCTACTTCAGCACTTAATAATGTACCAGTGAAAATATTCACATGACATTGATTTTATCAACATTTCATTGCATAAGTTATAAAAATACTAAATATTCAAGCACTTGACTTATAAATTTATCATGTTTTAAACAGCAATGTTATGCACTTTCAGACTGCATGTCTTTCGTATTATTTTCTCCATGCCTTTCAAACATCATGCTCCATTCCTGTCTAGCAGAGCAAAGATAAAACTGCCCAAGTTAGGTTCTTATTTAATGCATCAGTTAAGAATAAGCAATGAAGCATATTGCAACCCACCTTTTCACCGGGCTTTTCCTTCACTGTTGGAGCTGGAATCTGTTGTGGTTTTTCTGATTTATCTGTCTTCAGCACCAATGGCATTGCTGGAACAATCACTGGTGCAGGTTTCTCCACCACTGGCTTCTCTTTAGGTTCTGGAATTTCTTCTGCCCGGGGTTGCATGAATAAAGGTGGAGGCAGGGGTAAGTTTGGCATTGCAGGATGTGGCAAGTTCTTTCCAAGAGTTAACGGAAATCTTGGAAAGAGAGGATGTCCGATAGGCGGAGGAATAAGACCAGGTGCTGGTGGGAAGTGAGGGAAGAAAGGAAACACAGGAGCAGCAAGAGGTTGGTCACGAGGCTCTAGTGCCTCAGGTGTCTTGGGTCTGTCTGGAGTCACTGGTTCAGGAAGTTCCATTTTGATTTTCTTTGGACTGACAGAGCCCTTCAGTGACTTTCCTTTAGAGTCCTTCTTAGACTTGGACTTGTCTTTTTTCCTTTTTCTCTCCTTCTGATCCTGAACTTTTCGAGGTGTTGGTAATTCTGGTGTTCTGGGTGTTGAAGGTGTTCCAGGAGGGGAAAGATCATCATCAAACATATATACATCATGATCAGAGCCTGGACCAGATGTATGACCAGACACTACATCATTGATGGTCTCATCAACCTTAGATGAAGAAGATTCTGCAACATGAGACAAGGGAGATTTCCTCTCCTTGGGAAGTTTTGGTTCCTCTTCTACTATTTCCATACTTCGCTGAATAACAGATTCAATGCAGTCATCTATCTGAGCCATACGTGCTTCCCGCTGACGACTGTTAGCCTCTGATTCGTCTATCACAAGCCCAGGTGAACTTTCACGAGAATCTCTGGGAGGAGGTTCAAAATGTTCTATTCTCTCCACTTTCTCTAGTTTTTCAGGTTTCTCCTCTTTCACTTTTGAAATCTTCTTGAAGATATTAAGTTTCTGTTTGTCAGGTTCTGATGATAACTTTCCTTCCACAACTTTTATATCTTTGCATTTTTCAGGAGTCACTACTCTCTGCTGAGGAACTGAAACTGGCAAAGGAAATATCTTTTCTGTTTTCTGAGTTTTGACCTGAGCAACAGGCTTACCAGTCTTAGGAGTACTTAGGTTAGGCGATTTGACTGCTGTTATTTTGGGCGGACTAAGCTTTGGAGGTTTCACATTTGTACTTGGACCTGAAGTACTGCCTGCATGAGCCATCATTTTCAGTGCTCCTGATTTCAGGGCTTTTAATTTTGATAATTCCTTCATACTCACCAACTTTTTAACCTTTGACTCGTCTGTGGGTACGTGTTTTTCCACTTTGATTAAGTCCTTTAATTTATTATCTTTCTTTTTATTTTCTTTGTCTCCTATCTTTTTTATACCATCTATAGTTTTCTTAAATGGCAACTTCTTTGTCTTCTTATCACCCTTCACTTCAGGAGGGACCATAGGATATGATGTTGGCTGAGGGGAATTTGAACGTGAGTCTGATGGCTGTAATGGCGTTCGTGACTCAGGAAGTTTTCCTTCTCTTGCCGGAGACAAGAATCCAGATGTGGTCATCATGACGCTGCTGATTTCACGCAAAGGCCGCCCTTCCTCCTCTAACATTAATCTTCATCAAACAGACAAAACACAACAGCACAATGAAAATTATAAAAAATAGCCTCATTTTTACACAACAAAAACAATATATCTGAGTGGCAGCGCCAAAATATTGTGATTTTTAAGAGCAAACTCCCTCATGTGCAGTGCTAGATTTCACTATAAGTAGCATACAGTCATCACAGTGGTTGTGTACAAACATCTTGAAGGAGTGAGTTTCAAATGTGAGGACTGTTAAGTTCCATGTGTTGTTGATAAACACAGCACAAAAATGTCATAACTTCAAAGGTTTAGGAACCTGCCTACCTCCCACAGTGGTGCACCAAGGACTGCTTCTGATATGACACATACAAAGTAAAATACACTCAAGTGGCTACTTTTAAAACATATTTTTGATATCTACTTTACATTGGTTGTCTCTCTAGTACATCCTTATCAAATATGCAGAAGACTTTAGAGATTCATCTGCAAACACCCATCTCACCCTGGTAGTTTCTGGTGAGTAGTACAAATCAGGTATATCAATGTAGAGGTCTCTTCAATTACAGAGTATATCCCATGCACAATTAAACAATTATAAAAAGGCTATACAGTCTGGTTCTTATTATAAAATACATCTTTGAATTTAATGGCAATGGTTTGCACAGTCCACAGTACAACTTTTCCGTGCAGCTGTAAATAAAATCATAATCACCAACATGGTAAAGAGACATGATCGCCAACGATTGATAACAGTCAAGGCACCAGAAAAATAAGATAGGAAATTCACAAACATGCATCACCTATTTGACATTATGACAACAGGAATGATTATCAAACAATAAGTACCTTGCTCTTTTAACAGCTGGGCTCTCTACAGAGATGGGGTCACCAGGCCGTTTAAAAACATTTCCCTTGGGGCTTGCCAGAGGAGATGTTGCTCCTGAAGATGATGCAGTGTCTACAGAAAGTGGCACTTGTTTGTTACCATATTCCTCCTCTGAAAATAAACAAACCGAGGAACAGGACGGAATCAAATTGTTACGTCTCAGAACTTATGATCAATATAAAACACAAATTATTTAATTTGGTTCAGAATGATATGACGGCTTCCTTTTTAACCACCATTACTACCATGTAAAAAATGTATTTATATGGTCATTATTTGTAGCTAGTCAAAACCGGATGACTATGCAACGCAAGAGGTGAGATAGCTCACCTTCCATCTCCGGATGCATGGGTGGCAAGTGCTCATGAACGTGCACTGGCCGTGTAACCACCTCTCTACTGCCTGGTTTCAAGAAGTTTAGGTGGGAGTCCCGGGGTATTGGATACTTAGGAATCTCATACACACATGGTACAGAATCAACATTCCTTATATATTCCTCCAATTCCAGTAAGTTTATGCCCATGTCCCGGAATGTAAGACCTACATCATCAAGGTTTGGCACTGTATGTCCAACTGAAAACGAAAAATGTAAAATAAGAATAAAAGGTCAACTCATAATTAAATAAATATACTGCCAAAAAAGAAATGGATACCATTCTTAAGATATTTATCTAAATAAATGCATGCACTTTCACACATTTATTATTAATTAGTGAACAGAAATTGATGCCTTATTTCCAAACATATACAAAAATATATAGTAGTAGAAAATTACTGTCTGTAAGCACTTTTGTTAACTGATATTTAGAAGTGATATCAGTAAGTATAATTCATTCTCACTGCAAGATTGTTTTACAGCAAGGGCAACAAAAAAAGACGGAATGCTGGTTAGGAGAAAAGGATGATTAATCTCATCACAAGTGTGTTGACATGTACCCATCTATCCCACTTCATATCAATGTAATAATAAACACCTTTCCTTAAGAAGTAACTTTCAAACTTTAAAGTAACAGGTGGATAAAAAACATTTTCTAGGAAGTCAGAATTGCAGGCTACTTTGTGGCCAGCAACTCCTCCACATTCTTCCTACTTACTACAGAATGTCCCACTTGATGTGGAACCGAACATGACAGCATGCTGCAGCAGCAGTGAGAAAACTAAAAGTAAATGAGTTTAGTCACAACACACAACATAGCCATCACATGCTAGTGGGTGCATTCCAAGGTACACAGGACTCTAAATAGGTAGCCATTTATAGGAAAAGTTACCAAGATATGCCTCCTGGCCTGCAAATCCTGCACATACATTCTCTTTATACAGAATTGACAGAATGTGAGGCTACATGCTGTATAATAAAAAACCCATAACAACAAATGTTAGATCTTTGTTCTATATAAGCAAAGGTGAAAGAAATAAGTAAAAAGTGCACAATGATGACTATGCCACTGACTAAATAACAACCTCATGCTTATAAGCATGTATTCTCAGTAACATAACTTTATGAGTTTGAATATTTACCCTACATATTTGTTTTTCATTAAGCTTACAGAAATTAAAATATGGTATATATTAGGATTACTGGTTGAAGTTTAGATCTTAAAATTCAGTACAACCTCTTAAATGAATTCTGATACACAGAAGTTTCATGATGTTTGTTTGAAGCTGTGTACTGCTATCATAAATCAAAGTCATATTCTTGTAATGGATCATGTCATAAAAATAACAGCCATCATTCACAGTTAACATGATACCTGGTCAGTTATCCCCAAAATATATTTCCAATGAAAAACCCAAACAAACCCCCATTTCCTTTGTCTCCATTGAAACTCATCATCCGATTTCTAGACAGTGTGTTTTGAAAACTATGTACATACATAAAACAACAAATGTTCAACAATATCAGCGACAGTTCAATGTTGAATATAACAGACATGTTTATTCACACATAGCCACATGCTGACTAGCTGAGCAATTATTAGTTTCCCCAAGGACTTTTCTCCATGTATTTACTTAAGCTTTGTAACTTTAATTTGAAACACTTTTCAGTATGATGAATATTAACATGTACAAGAAAAAATAATTTGACTTCATGCTATGTGGTATCTTCAGTGACAGAAATTAGCTCGTTTCTGCAATAAATGCATAAAGAAAACTGAAATACATAAAAACTATAATCAATTAACCCAGAAAATATGGGCCCTTCTATGGAAACAGTGAGTGGATGATGCCAGTAAAATGAATAGTAGTACACATGGGGTAGCTCCTATCATAATTTTTTTCCATACAAAATCCCTATGTGCACAGTAAAACTGAACCAAATGAAAGGTATAATGACAGTCTAGTATTCCTTCTACAAAATTATTTCCTACAGGAAACAGCACATTTAGAAAACTTCTTCCTAAGACTTTCCATTTTAAGTGGGTTATCTGACAACCAAGTCTATCTACCTCTGTTTTCCCAAAATTAATTCTTCTCTTCTTATGGCCTTTCTTCCCTCTTTCCTGACCTGTTCTTTCCACTTGATCCCTTCTAAAACCTGACCCCATATCCACAATGAAGGACAACATCCAAGCAAAAGAGGCTTATCAGTATTCTGGAAACTTACAGTGAAGAGAGATAGTTCTAAAAACAGTATAACAGAGCAATTGTATAAACTGAGAATCTTTAGTTAATTACTGTGCTAATTCTACATATAAACAAACACCTTTAATACAATGCAGTACAATAAAAAGGTTTTCCTTACAACGAAACTGAACATCAAGCTCATCATAACTTTCCACCAGCTGAACTCAGAAACATTCGTGTTTTATTCACTGAAATTCAATGTTACTTACACTGTTCACTATACCGGTGCATAAGTTTTCCAACTTCTGCCATATACCTTTGTAATACATCGATCATAATATCCAAAGGCGTATTGTGAATTCCATGCCAACCGATGGTTTGGCACATCTGGGCAACAACCATTTTTAATGCGTTTCTCGAAAAAGTTTCTGCCATTCTTACTTCTCATAAAATATTTTCATTTTATAAAACAGGTGTATTCTCAGTAACATTTTTATTAAAATGTAATCACGTTGTAGGAATCAACTGAACAAACATTATGCTTTTCTTCACACTACAAATTTCTACACAGCACCTTCGGACGACTCCACACATACGATGTACAGCTCTGCTGGCATATATTTACTTTTTCACGCCCAGGATTACCAAAGTAACGCTACGGCATATATTCCTTCATTTAAGGGTTTCATAAGAGTACGTTTCTCTCTTTCTCTTAAAGAATAGAATACACATACTTATTTTTGGCACCAAAATTAATTTATAAATTTTAATACACATTACTACCTACATGAAATAAAATTTAAGATGAAGAAGCTATTCAACTGAATAGGGATACATACAAACACCGTGTAAGATTAGATTGCCAACATGACTTCAAATTGCTCTCCGCTCCTATATGCCCTATGCCAATTATTATAGCTGGATAGAATTTTGACCATAAGTTGATTATAATCGAATAGAATTTATTTAAATTCCATAGATCCTTCATAAGCCCGAGCCAAGTATGTAGAATATGTCAGCACATGACGTAAGTTCTGTTACTGTTCATAGTGTCAATAGGCTTAATATCATGACATGGTAACTGCAACATTTGTCCTTACCTCGAGCTCATCGTTGCCCTAGTTCTTGACTGATTTGTGAGTAGGAAAGGTTATTTTTTTAGTGGTAATGGTAATACAATATGAACAATACTTGAATACTAATGCATGGTATTAATATGTAAATTAAATAGCCAAATTAAAATTCCTACCACCAAATACCCCAGTCAAAACTATTAAAGATACTGAGAAAAAAATTATAAACAAATATAATTGTAACCCTTGTACCTTATTCAATCACTGCATATGTTCAGATGTTTTGTGGAAGTGCAGATTCCATTTATATTCTTAACCTTTTAAAGCCAAAGCACCAAACATTGCTTACAAATTGCCCTTTTCACAAAGAAGAGCATGTGTCTATTTTATTGCTAAAATATTATTTTATATGTAAGTTGTTACATGATTCATACTTTCAATTCAATTCAATTTATTAGAGTGCTGCATCAACAGCCAGATGGCCAATTACAGATACAAAAAATTCAAAATATTTATATTATGTCAATTCATACTTACTTTTATGTATTAAAGCAGTGGTTTTCAACTTTGTTTCACAGCTAGTACCCTGAACACATATTCCATATTGTGGCACCCCTCTCACATTTCCCATCATTGCAATTTTCTCAAAAAAAACACAGGAGAGCCCTAAACTGATGAAGATAATATGGAGGGAGATGAGTAAAAGAAGACACATTTTAATAGCAATAAAAGTAGGAAAACTTGCAAGTGTAAATTTCTGCAACAGGCTTGGAAGGTGTCTGTAGCACCCCTGTTAGGAACCACTGTATTAAGGTATCATGAATTTAGTAGTATATTCACTGGATAAAATGTACCATAGAAAGCAGTGGTCTGGGGTCACAAAGATTTCAAGAATATTAATAGGAACTCCATAAATAACTAGGTAGCAGAACAAAATCGTAATATTTAGCATGTTAAGGCCTTTTATTCACCAATCATATATATATTATTGCATACTTCTTGCTATACACTTTATTTATAAAAGTCTACATACTTCCAATAACCTGCATATTTTGAAACTGAGATTCTAGTTCCATGAATGTGTAACATCTACTATATACAAATAGCCCATGGCAAAATTCAGCTCCAAGCAATAGCAACATTTTAATAGGTACATCAGATAATAGCTGTCAATGACCAGGAAATTCATAAGATTGCAACCATTGCTTCATATAATCACAAACTGAGCCTTTTTATAGATTGTGGCAAATGTCTGAACTTAGGATATATGATACAGTGTATGTTCCTCAAACAAATCTTGTATATGGGCACAAGTGATTCTGTTGAATGGAAAAGTGTGTAAATATGCAGACTGACTATACATCTAAGAAAACTTTCTAACATATGCAAATTATGCTACGTATTTTGGATGAGTGGGGGTTTAAACCTATAATTGCCTTTACTCACAATACAGCCTCACTGTTGAATCTCACTAAGATTTTTTATCAAGACACATTTTCAATCAATAAGTTAAATTAGAGAGGAACACTGAAAATAAAATACCAGAAAGTGACAAAACTTTATGTTAAAATTTTTGAAATTATGACTGCAGTCACAAATAATAAAGCAGTGTTCAGACAAACATTGGCTAATTCATAAATTTCTGGAAAGAATACTACTAATATAAATGTAATACAAAGTGTTTTAGTTCATGGTAGTAATCAATAGCACATAATATGGTATATTTCACAAATACGAATGTAATAGAAATAAAAAATATGTATTTGTGGCCCACTTTTGTGAACAGAAGATGCTGAGAATTAGGAAGCATGAAGCATCATTCCTCCACCACTCCAGCAAATTTATTTTTACATAATAAAGGCACTGGTGATACAAGTACATACCCACAGTCCAACTACACTCCAACATACTCTAAAACTGATTCTTAAATTTAAATTGTATTTCTAACTCCAAATTTCCTGTATGCTGGTACCATTATTCCAGTGTCATCTCTGTTATCCTGGATCAAAACTGTGTATCAGGAACATTAAAACTGATATTTAGGATGATATTCTCATATTAAAACTTACCTCAGTCAAATGAACTACTTTTATTTATAGTCTTAGTTAGACTTGTAACATAATTATACTTGAGCAGAGTAAGTGATGGATGTCACAGTCACATAACATAATGTCTGATAGTAACACAATATTTAATTTTATATATTCAAACTCACAATTTGAAATGTTTGTGTGACTGATTAATAATGTGTTGCATGAAAAGTTCAACATTGTGAGATTTTAGGTTCTCACGGCAGTGAGTATGAAGATGACTGTGTTCTGGGATGTTGAAACATGTAATCTGGTAGAAGCTAACTAATGTTTTATAGGTGTGTACTGCCTCCATCAACAGAGTGATGAGTCATCAACCGCATGATGGAGGCAGTAAGGACCTCGCAAATGTTGGTAACTTCTACCACACTACATGGTTCAACATCCCAGAAGACAGTCATCTTCAAGTTTTACATTAATATATAAATTCATGCAGCACACGATCACTCTATATCTACGATTCCATTCTAAAGGGTGGAAACCAAAACTTTGTTATACTGATACAGTATATGAAACAGAGGTTTTCATGGATAAAGGATAAACAAGCTGGATTTTAAATTAAAATTAAAATATAAACTATTTATGATTTTACGGTAAGAACTTGTTTGACGGCTCGGACAATGTCATGTGGTTGAGGTAGTGCAGCTGCCTCTAGGCTCTTGGTGTATGGCATTGGTGCATCTACACCTGTTACACGTACTACAGGTGAGTCCAAATGGTAGAATGCTTCACCTGCAAAGAAAAGTAACTTAGTTCATGATAATTGTTGTTTGAATTGAGACTGCTTGATCACATTAAGGGAACTACTCAGACAAGTTCAAGTGCAGAGTTTAATAAGACCTGTGTTAAATTTACACATATATACACACACACACATACGGTAACCATCCAGTCAAAACTGCAACTTCTTATGAAATCTGCTGAATCAAAAAGAAGAGAAATACAAGACAGTATATATGCAAAACATAATCACTATACAGTACACTCCAGATCAGTGGTCCCCAACGCGGTGCCCGCGTTGTTATGGAAAGAGGTTATACTGAATAATGAAGGCCGTTCAATCATGAACATTATAAAATCAAAGCACAGATCTTGACTTACTGACGCCCATCTTGACGATTGTTTGCGAGCAGCAACATCATCCTACACTCCCAAATTTGAAAAACTGGCCGATGAAATGAAGTGCCAAACATCACACTAACTTCCCACTTGAGTAATAATAATAATTGTACTTATAAAACTACGTATTTTTGATTGCATGGTTTCTTGTATCATTAAACGTCGTGTTGTTTTGTGTATTATTTGGTGTCCATATCTTATTTGTCCAGAGAAAAGAAAATTTGGCTTTGTTAATTGGATGGTGCCCGCCACGATCTCATAATCTCTCAAATGTGCCCGTAGGCACAAAAAGGTAGGGGACCACTGCTCCAGATTATCCAGGGTCTATGTGGTTTGAAAAAAAAAGTACAAATTAATTTTAGAAATCTGTTTTAAAATTTGTAACATTTAAAAACAGAACATTATTACTACCTGTTAGAATCCTCTTTTAGAAAATAGTTGGTATGTACTGTACTGAATTTTATATAAAATCCTTTGTGTTATCAGTAAAAATTTATATATCTAAGTACTGTATGTCAGTAAATAAACTTACATATTTCTTACATTTGTATGTTTTTGTTTAACTTTTGTGTATTATCTGGGAAAATACATTTCCCAAACAACCTGGATTATCGGGATTCTACTCTACATTCTTGCTACATTTTATTAGTAAAGGAGTGCTTCAAAGCTCCATGCTTTCTTTTCAGCTTCCATACAAACAAAAGCGAATTACTTTAATAAAACTTTACATATAATTCTATGTGCAAATAATAACCAACCACTCTGGAAAATCACTTTCTACTCTAAATATGATAATGGTACAGCAGATCAAGACTGTTAACAATTGACAACTTTATTGGAAATGATCAACAATATATTGTTTGTACTTACTCTCCATTATTCTAGCACATATTTCTGAACCAATTCCACACTGTGGCCACCCTTGCTCAACTGTCACAAGATGATTTGTCTTTATCACACTTTTTATTATTGTTTCTTCATCCAGTGGTCTAATGGATCTCAGATTTATGACTTCACACTCAATTCCTTCCCCTGCAAGTTCCTTTGCTGCATCAAGTGAAAGTTCTACAGCCCTTGAATGTGCAACCAATGTAATGTGGCTTCCTACAACAAAACCAATACTGCACTGTACTGTACACAAATAATTACAAGAACCAGATTGTAATCATTTCCTATGTGCAATATGGATGGGTAAAGGCACTTAAAGAAGCCAGCAACTCCTAAAAATGTTACACGATATTTGTAATTTGGGGGTCCGCAGTGGCCGCGCAGTCTGAAGCGTGGGTCTTGTGCCGCTTGATCGCGGGGACTGTGGGTTCGAATCCCACTCATGCCATGGATGTTTTTCTGTGTTGTGCTGTCCTGTAAATAGGTAGAGGCCTTGCGACAGGCCGATCCCTCTTCCACGGGGTCCTACCAAATGTCCATAGATCAAGCCAACTAAACAGTTGGGGACCCGTAAAAGGTACCGGAAAATGTAGAAAACATTGTTAAACCAGAAAAAGAAGACGATATTTGTAATTAAGGATAAAGAAATGTTACAATATACTAGCCCATTCTGAGGCAAAACTGTTTTGGTTACACCGTCTTTTCACATCAATGTATATTTAAAATATTAGCATTTTAAATTTATATAAAATTTCAAATTAACACACATTTTATCAATACTCAACTGAACCTCAATATACATAACATAATGGCACGTACTTCACTGATTAACATTTCTATGGCACAGCAGAAGGCTCCATGTTTATATTCTGTCTGTACAGATAAATGGAGATCTTGCTTCTGGCCACATTATTGTGATGGTAAAGTCAACAGCAGGTGGTTAGGTTAGTGTGTAGCTGATTGTGATACTTGTATTTAAAATACAATGGTACAAATTACCAAGTTGTATGTACTGTAACACAGAGAACATATAATTTAGTTCATCTTACCTGTACGTTCTATTTTAGCCTTTCCTATTGGCACAAGAAAGTCTTTAGACATAGCTTCGTCTGATACAGGAAATGCAACGCCATATAAAATCTCATTTTCCAATACCACAACTGGATCTGGGTCACGAATTGCTGCCTTTATCAACCCTTTGTGATCTTCAGCTGTGTATGGGGAGACCACCTGCAAGAGGTATCTGAAAACTAAGTTAACTGACAACAGAAATGAAAAGATTTCAGTTTTAGAAAATTGGCTTTATATTATAAAAAATATTTTGAAGTCACTGTCTAGTGTTTTGTCTTGGTTATGATCTGCCAGTATTGCCAGGTCATACACTACTACATAACTGCAACTGCACAGTGACTTTTCGAACACACTGTATTATATGTTCTCTAATATAAGAATAAAGTAAATTTCATCCAACTGAAAATTTTAATACATTATATTCCATATTAATTTTAAAAGAATCTCATGAGTAAAAGTTATTAATCTTTCTTAAATTCGATGTATCATAATCTGAAAATATGAGCGAATGATTGGTAGTCCCACCCCAAATCCCAAGATGTAAGTATCAGCTCTTCAGTAATTGTAAAATACCTTGAAAACTGTAGAGGATTTTTAAATATCAGACACATCCAAACAATGTTTTTTCAATGACATGATGCAAAATTTGTACTGCTTTATCAACAATGATCATGCTCTAATATTCTTTTATACCCTTTACTGACATTCAAATATGCAAATAAGCTGTCCTACAGTTCCTTGGTAATGAGGGTTGTCAACCAGCTGAATGATGATCAATACACAGCATTACTGTGGAACCCTGCAAGAATTTCATACTGTCATCAAGAGAAAGAGTCCAATCATGCTAATGAGAAATGTCATAGTGTTGCACAACAATGCCTGCCCACTCTTGGAATCAGAAAAATTATATTAAAGAGTGACTTTCAACAGATGGATTATAGTTTATTGTAAAACAAATAATGAATAGAAAGAAAAATGGTCAGCAATAAAGCCTTCTTCATAAGTAATATGAACAAGTGGCACATTGTTAAAATTTCAAGTTTACATGGCAGTAAGGATGATGTTCTTGATTTTGATGTTGTGTAGACTCATCAGTACATACATTGGCATCTACTGACAACTCTACATGTTGCCAAAACCTAGAAAATCATCATCATGCAGCACATTATTCAAAACGAACAAATGGCAATACAACTGGGCAGGAAACAAAAGTTATTACAAAGGAGAATTTATTGAAGATGTGTTTCAGTTTCTTTTGAATAGTATTTCCATGTTACACATTTAATGGGAAATCTACAGATCAAGAATTTGCTCTGTGACTTCACCTTTAGACCTGGGCAATGGCTGTACCAAGCGCCAAAACACTGAGAATGCTGTGCTGCAACACCTGCTGCAGCCCCATTAGGTCCACGGAACACGATGGGCACATTCACCTAAATAATAGAAAGGGAAATAAATTCAATATAAAAAGATATCAAAACAAGTCAGTTACAGACTAACATACAACCAACTTATGCTATGCGGTCACCATAAAAAAACTCTGATATTCAAAAGAGGATGTCTAACAATTGTTTGTCTGTGAAGCATGTGCACTCCAGTAACTGCCAGTTTCATCATACACATTATTACGGTGTCATTATTGCTGCACTGGTGAGGCTACGAGTGCGAAGGAAATAGGTATTTCTTTTATTTTTCTGTCATTTGTTGTTCATTGGCATTACGATTTAAAGGTTCTATGTTTGAATCTGACTGCATACTTTAGGAGTATTTTTATTTTCTGTAGTATACCAGGAACGTATACAAAATATTTTCAGGGCCTGATATCTTTAACCCTCAGACGTGTTTCTACGTGTATACACGCGGGCATTTAAACTTAACTGCCTCCCGTTCCACGTGCATATACGCAAGACTCAACTCTAATTTCTACAACCCATAAGTATGGTATGAATAACGACTGCTTTATGAACTTTGGACTGGTCTGCTGTGAAAGGAATCCTCTTTCTGATGATGTGGCAACAGTGTGTGTATTTCTTTTAACTGTGCTGGCCATTCGTAAGTATAAATGCCTGACCTACAAGTTTTCAAGGCTACCACTCATACATGTGGTGTTTGTTGTGAATGGAATTTAGGGTCTCAAAAAGGTTAAAATGACAGCCATAAATCCTGGAAATAAAGAGAGGGGAACAGAGTCGAAAGACAGAGGAAAAAAGGTCATATCTGAAGCAGACAAAATGTTCCTCAAGTTAGGAATACAAGTGGAATCGGCATGTATGTGTATGTCAGAAATAACAAAATTTTAACACCCCTATACTCAGAAATCTATAATTAGAAGCCTTGTTAGAAAGAGACGGTTATAACTCTTATGATGATGTATATAGTAGGGGCTACAGGTCCGAGCCAACTGATAGTCAGGTGGAGGGGGGACATTTCGTGGCTCGTATTTCTGAAAAAGTAAACAAGTGAAGGCCTCAGATACATTGTGTGGAGTGCCAGAAACGCAGGAAAAGGATAGAATCTATTTATTGGTGTTGTGTAGTGTTTTTATGTCTGTTTCAAGAACTAAAAATACAAAACTCAACTTCTAATCCACTTTCTTCCATTGATCACACACATGGTACTCATCTTGTAAGGTAAGATTACAAAACCATCTTTTAAGAGGATTTCAGTGAAAAATTCATAATTATATCTCATATAGTTCAAAAGTTATGAAGAAAAGAGTATTTTACAGCAAAATTTCAATGGGCATTTAAAAAATACTACCGCCGGAACAGCACGACAGCGGTATATGCTGGGTATTTAAACTACCACGTCGACGGGTTAATAAGATGTGCTTGATTTTTGTTGCATACAGTGTACTACAAAAGTTTGTCTCTTAGGAGAAACTCACAAGGATTTTACTGTAGAGTATGGGAGAGCAAAAGAAAATGTTATCTTTTAACTTACTTTGCCTGCTGACATATAAAATGTTTTGGCTGCAGAGTTTATAACATGGTCTATTGCTTGCATTGAAAAGTTGAATGTCATGAATTCACAGACAGGACGCAAGCCAGCCTGAAATATAATATAATTAAACACTAAAGAAAATTAAGATAAATGCCATCTTATGTTCTATAGTACCAAAATATTAAGGTCTATCTTACCACCTAGTGTGGGAAAGGAAGAGCAATAGGAGATGAAAATTCAGTGAAAATGCAAAAAATGTTCTGTGATCACTTGTATAAAATCACAGACAGCTGGAATTAAGGTAACAATAATAGTAGTTCAGAACATCATGGTAAATGGTGAGGATTCTTGTTTTGTGTTCAGAATCAACTTTCAAACCTCCACTAAGAGATAAGCAATTCTGAGGTATTTCATACTTTTCCTTAATCTGTCTGAAATTCTTAAGAATAGTCCACTATTGCTTTCTTTCATGTCCTTCCTGAGTCATCATTTAGTCATCCTGTCATCCAGCACTTTGTTAACACATGTAGCTGATAAAGTGTCATTATGATATGAAACATTATTAATGGAAAAAAGTAGTCCAAACCATGATAAGTACATGTAAAAAACTCCAACTCACCTGCCCTTCTCTTTAACTGTCATATTTTTCAATAACCTACCACACTGGCATTATTTGTAAGAAACTACTGTTACCAAGGCAAAATTTGGCTAGGTTTAGTTTTTATAAACAAAATCAATTTCTGTAGATTGTATTCAGTCAAGTATTATCAATCACACCTTATATTTACTTATTCAACAAACTGATACTGGAATGTTCCAGCATTCAAAGCTACTATCAGTAGTTACTCTTGGGTGGATTTTTCCAAATCTCCCTTATATTTATAATTAAACAGAATTTAACTTCACAGAAAGACTTAAAATTTAGTACACATATTTATTTTGGCCGTCTATACACAAACTTATTAAAATGAGTTGTTAAAATATTATAACATTCACCATATAAATATAAAATACGTTATGTTATGTTTTGGTACTCTTTTTATCGTATTATGATATTACATTCCATTTTGTTGTAAAATAATAACTGGAAATTAATTCCACAGACAATAAACAATGAAACATTAACACCAAATCAATCATGAAGATGGATGGATTCAACAAACGCATAAAATCAATAAATGCAACGCAGCTTAGTATATAATAGTTTATAAAATTAATAGAATTGATAACCTGAAGATGATGTCCTAGTACATCGAAACATGTCGTTTCTAAATGAAGGTGCCAAAATGGAATGTAATATCGTAATACGATAAAAAGAGCACCAAAACATAACATAACGTATTTTATATATTTTATATTTATATGGTGAATGTTATAATATTTTAACAACTCATTTTAATAAGTTTGTGTATAGACAGCCAAAATAAATATGTGTATTCGAATCAACACAAACATGACGCAATTGAGATACAAATTAAAATTTAGTATTGTGTCACGTTCATGCGTTCTGAGCATGATTAATTTTCAACAAATTACAGTGATTATGAATGAAATAATAATTACATTATCAAGTTAATACAAGCATTCAATCAACCATTAACATACCATTGCAGCTCCAACTGCTATTCCAGCAAATCCCATTTCTGTTATTGGTGTATCAATAACTCTTTTGTCTCCATATTTCTTCCACAATCCACGAGACACTTTATATGCACCATCATACATTGCCACCTCCTCACCCAGAACAAATACTCGTTCATCACGCTCCATTTCTTCATCCAAACCAGCATTGAGAGCATCTCGTACTGTCATCTGTAAAACACAAACTATTATTCAAATATAGTGTGATTTATAAAAAACATTCTGAAAAATTAAGCTCCATGCAGCAAATAACATCCTGCATAAAACATCATAATAATAAAATGAAAGAAAACTTACAAATAGCCCAAAAATGTTCATCCCTTTAAATACACTACATGAAGACTTTAATGCAATTAACCCTATTTGTCCAAAATGCTAAAATATGTTCCCATACAAATTGTTTTCACTGGCTGTAATGCTTAAAAGTGTTTGTTTTCTCTACCTTTATCCTAGTGACATCTGCCAGGTAATTATCTAAATTCTTCTAACATCATCAGACCATACAATATATGTGGACAGCGTCTTTTTCACATATTGGATCAATTCCCAAATACTCTTAACCCTGAGAGAAATGCAAAATTTCTTCAGCAATTGCCATTGTCTCCCAGAAAGAGCTTGGCATAAAGCTACGCTCTATGTTTAATACATATGTTGTTGTGAGAGCAGGTACTGAAAAAGTTCACCACTTCCCAACATTTCAGTACTGTATGTCCAATAAGTTCAGATGTATTAGTAGTTCTGTGATGCCCTGCATTATTCAGCTTAAACTGCCGACAAAAGAAGAAATGATACAGCTGAAATTAAATGTTTTAGAAAAGTTGCCGGTCACACCTTACAAGATGAAATAAATAATCTCACTACTTGAAACAAACTACATCAACATACAGCAGAATGAACACCTTGCACCCATGTAGAGCAGCCTGACAAGCAATGACTTGAGAAGATGTGATGACAACTTATGAAAATTCCTACATGATCAGAACAGGCCTTTTGATATACCTTGAAGATAATAATGACAACTTTAACAATGGAAGGTTACGTAGCTCATAAGCATATCCATCAATAAAACAGATAAGTGTCTGCTCATGAAAAACAAATGTGAGAACTACAATCAAATGCATATACTTTCCGTAAGTTTCACCGAAAAATATGATCATACATTATAAATATTGTTTTCTTTCTTCTCTACTGATTCAAATGTCTACTAAAAACTGCCTTCATTGAACAGCATACATTCATAAGGATGTGACTTTACTACAAACAGTCCAATAAATGAAATGTATAGCCTATTATATATGTCAAAATCTCTGCTGCACTGTTGGTTATAATTTTTTTCATCAGCATTTTCAGTTATTGTAACCTCAAATGTCTGTTGAAATATTCAGAAGTTGTGTAAGAAACAAGATAACTATACTAAGGGGTCCATGACCTATCCATTTGTGATCTGTAGATTGGGTACTTTTGTTAGACTTTTAATGAAAATGTGTTAAGTACTATAGATTTTTTCCCATTCTTAACAGGTAATTTTCTAGCCATTAAAATATCTGAGTGCCTGAAATTACAATGACAGAGTGTGAAATTTCACTAATAATGTTTCCTGGAAAAAACATGCCCAAGTGCTTAATTTGTATTCAGGATTTTCTGGCGTCAAATCAGGGATTTAAAACTGGCTATTAGAGTTGTAGTTTTTTCCAGTTCCTCCAAAATCTGGGTCAGTAAACATGGCCAGAACTACTTTCCAATTCATGAACCACCACTCATTGCATCATTTGATACTGGTATATACTCTGAGTTACTGACAGTGCCATTAAATTCACTATTAATACATAAATAAGGTTACAAACTACCACGAAGTTTCTAGTTTCTTTAAATCTCTGGAAAATCAAGTTCATGTGCAAATTCATTAAATTACTCATTTCTTCCAATTTCCATTTTACCAAATTCTTTTAAATTTTCAATAAAATTATTAAATTCAGCAACAAATGAAGCATTATGCAACATTCCAACATTAAAAACAATTATATTGTTGAACAATGTGGAACAGGCCCACATATTATGGGAAAATTCACCACATTTCATAAAATAAATTGTCATCCCTTGGGACCAATTTTATAAACTAACTAACTAGATGGCTCACCGAACCCGAAGGTTCATCACCGAATTAACCAAAGTCCTCCACCGGACCCTGTCCAGGGCCAACAAAATGCAGTCTCCTTCAACTCCTAGCGCCCATAGATCCCGCCTGACATTATCCTCCCATCTACGTCTAGGTTTTATAAAACCTTAATTTATTCTTAGTGGGGCAAAATTATTTCTGCGATGTCTTCAATATTTTTAAGAAAACTCAACACTGCCGTCATATTTTCTCTCACAACATGTTCATTCTTCACACTGTTTAATAACATTTTGTTAACAGATTGAATTTCTCACAAAGTAGGACAAGTGTTTGTAATTAGCATAATGAAGAAATTCCGAAGACCATAAATAAAATATGAATAAAAATTAAAAATATATATTAAAATATCATTTTACGTTCGTAAAATGATATTTTAACCTTTAATTATTTTAAATTGTGATTGACGGATAATTTTAATATATATTTTTAATACTATAAATCACAATACGACGCATCTACAATATCTGATAAAAATTAAATTATGTATGAACCCACTAAATATCTATACTTTGGCTAAAATATTTTTAAGAAAACTCAACACTGCTGTCATATTTTCACTCACAACATGTTCATTCTTCACATTGTTTAATAACATTTTGTTAACAGATTGGATTTCTCACAAAGTAGGGCAG